GCTAAGTCAAAATTAAATTTGACTAAAGCGGATAATATAATTGTTGGGATCACTTTCCAAATAAATAATGTGGACAATGTGAGAAATTGGGTGATAGACTCTGGTGCTACTAAAACCAACAATGTTTTTATCAAATGAAGTGCCACAATCATGTTCAGCCTTCAAAGTCTTAATTTTAACCCCAACAATCTTTTCTTTTGATATTAAACAAACAAAGGGACAACCAACAATATCACACATATACCTAAGCCTTACTATGTCACTCTTCTCCAATTTCAATCTTTTCTTGTTACCAAGAGAATACAACTTCATACACTTCCTAGCTTCTGGTATGTCCTGTTTGTAACTCTTTGTAGTCATTAAGTTTTTCAGTTATTTCCCTTTTCTTTTGTCTTTAAGTGCTTCTAATTCTTCAGAATTATATCCTTCAGAATCAGAACTAAAGTTAGATCCTAGATCATTTCATCTACAATCAGTACCAACATCATCCATAATTATATCAGATTCTTCCTCATATTGTATAACATTGAAAATAAAGTAAATAGTGGGCTCACATTAATCTACACCAAATAGGTTTACTATATTGAATTCTTGCATATTAACTTTTGTAAATGTCTAATATCTGTCACGACCCTAAACCTAGACCCGGTCGTGATGGCGCCTCTCGTGAAGAAAAGGCCAACCGACACAACACCCTATCTAGTTTAAACAATTATAATAACACAATTTAAGTCATTAATATGCTAATAATCCCAAAATAAAAGTGAACTAGTACAATTTGCGGAAACCAACACAACCCGACATCGGGGTGTCACCAGTCATGAGTGTCTAACATAAGCCTAAGAGTATGAAAGAGTTTATACATTTTATTACAAAACTATAACAAAGGAAGTAAAATAGGAGTGAGAAACACTGGGCTGCAAACGCCGAGCACCTACCTAGTGGACTCTGAATTGCCTGCTGGGCTGCACACAGGGTGCAGGGAGTAAAGTGAGTAATCCAACTCAGTGAGTAATAAAAATAAATGAAGAATGAGCGATAAGAAATCATGTAAAGCACAACAACATGCTATAAAGAGGCAGTATAAAATCAATATAACGCAACAAAATAGTGAAAACTTGTAAAAACATCCCAGTTCAGTAAATACCTCTTTAAAATATCTTTTAACAGTTAAACAAGTGAATGAAAGCAGCCAGAAAAGATAAACACATAAAATCATCCCCTCGGGCACAATACTAACAGAAACCAGCCCCTCGGGCAATAACATGGAACAACCTCAGCCCCTCGGGCGATATCACATATCTCACTGGGTACCCACACCCACTAGGGGTGTACAGACTCTGGGAGGGTCCCCTTACAGCCCAAGCGCAATATCAAGCCATTTCGTGGCAAAATCAATAGGCTCTCGGCCTCATATGAAGCCATCTTGTGGCGTACAACTCAGGTCCTCGGCCTCATAATCATAATCAGTACAATATTGCTGCGACATGCAGCCCGATCCCATAATAATCCTCATAACACAGGCCCTCGGCCCTACTCAGTCAGAAATCTCTAAAAGCCACTCGGGCACAGTAAAATATGATGCTCAGCCCAAAATATCATTTAAAGTGTTAAAACAGAGTAAACATGGCTGAGCTATGAAAACAGTAGAAGATAGCATGACTGAGTACAGATATAAAATCAAAACAATGAGGAAAAGCAATAAAAATCCCCTAAGGGTCCAAAAAGTTGGCACGAGGCCCAAATATGACATTCAACCCAAAACATGATATTAGCAAACAGTTTTCGATCAAATACGCGGTAAAACAGTCATTCGGGATGTACTAAGTCACAATCCCTAACAGTGTATGACTCCACGCTCGTCATCTAGCGTATGTGTCACCTCAATATAGCACAACAACGTGAAATCCAGGGTTTCGTACCCTCAGGACAACATTTACAATCATTACTCATCTTTATCCGGTCCAAACTCTAGCCCGCGATGCCCTTGCCTCTCAAATCAGCCTTCGGATGCTCCAAATCTAACCAAAATCAGTGCAAGCCCATCAAAATATGCTAAGGGAACAAAGCCCACTCGAAAGAAATCAAATTACAACACAAATCCCAAAATTAGCCAAATCCGACCCCCGGGCCCACGTCTCGGAATCCGGGAAAAATTACATCAATAGACTCCTTATCACTCCCCGGTTAATTCATATAAAAAGCACCAAAATCCTACCAAAAATGACCCTTCAAATCCCAAATTCTAGGTCTCCAATTACAAACCCTAATTTTTCAATATTTAGGCTTAAATTCTACAAATTCCATGATTAATTAGGTAGAAATCACATTAGGATTGAATATTAAGTCCATAATTCTTACCTCTAAGTGTTCCCCCTTGATTACCTCTTCAATCTCCTTCAAAAAGCTTCAAAATCACCCAAAATGGAGGAACTTAGAACCAAAATCGCGGAAATGGGTCTTTTAAATATTCTGCCTAGCACTTAAAAAGTCTTTCATCGAGAACGCGGTCGACGCCTCGCGTTCGCGAAGCACAATTTGAGTTGACCAATTTTTCCTTCATCGCGATCGCGACTCCCAGTACGTGAACGCGAAGGCTTAGCTTCCTTACTCACCGCGAATGCGACTCCACATCCGCGAACGCGAAGAACAAACCAACCTGGGCCTAGTTGCTTAGCTTTCCTCTACGCGAACGCGACTAACCCCTCGCGAACATGATGACAACGAGCCTCAACCCTTCGCGAACATGGGATCACCTTTGCGAACGCGAAGACCAATTTCCCAGCCTCACATCTCAACCCTTCGCGAACGCGAGGGTCCACTCGCGAACGCGAAGAACAATTGTCTGCAACACTTAAGCAGATTTTTCTGCAATCTTTTTCAACATGAAATGGTCCGTTTAACCATCCGAAACTCACCCGAGGCCCTCGGGACCTCAACCAAACATGCCAACCTATCCCATAACATCATTCAAACTTGTCCCAAACTCCGTAACGCTAAAAACTACATCAAAATACCAAATTTGCATCGGATTTCTAGCCTAAGAATTCCATAATCTTCCAAATTCCGCTTTCGATCAAAAAATCTATCAAACCACGTCTGAATGACTTGAAATTTTACACACACATCCCAAATGACACAACGGACCTACTGCAACTCTCGGAATTCCATTCCGACCCCTATATAAAAATCTCACCTATCAACCGGAAAACGCCAAAATTCCAATTTCGCCAATTCAAGCCTAAATCTACTCTGGACCTCCAAAACACATTCTGATTACGCTCCTCAGTCTCAAATCACCTCCCGAAGCTATCCGAACCATCGAAACTGACATCCGATCCCTTTAACACATAAGTCGATATCTGGTTGACTTTTTCAACTTAAGCTTACTCAAAAGAGACTAAGTGTCTCAAACCTTTCCAAAACCTTACCGAACCCGAGCCAACCAACTCAATAACACATAATACAGCTGAACAAGGCAATAATAAGCAGAAATGGGGGAAACAGAGTGGTAACTCATGAAACGACCGGTCGGGTAGTTACAATTTCATCATCCCCTTCAATCACATAAAATTTACCAAATGGGGCACCGACTATAAATTGTTGAACCCCTACAAATCCTAGATCATTTGTGAATTCATTCACTATGTCTATGTGTGAAAGTAAGTCGGAGTCATAACCTGTCCAAGTCTTCACCAATTTTCTTGTGTAGTCAACTTCAGGCTCAGTAACCCAATAACCATCGTAATTGAATATTAAGTCGACTAGCACCACCTCCAATAACCTAGCAAAAAAATTATACCACTTAGAAACATAAAATATACCATGTAAACATCAGAAGTAGGAAATGAATAATTAAAGCCAAAAAGAACAAAATATTTATGACAAGAGGTTCCCTTAAAGAAGAATCCAAAATACCCAATATTTTAATCATAAGGCAACACAATTAGGGACCATTGTTGTTAATAAACAAAGAAAAGTGCAGAATCTTCTGACAACACAACTACATTTTATTGACAAAGACAAAAAACAAACCCCACATAACCCCACAAAACATAGAACCCTAAACATCATCATACACGACAAAGCAAGAAACAACAAAGGACTACACCATGCATGCAAACATTAGAAATAGACAAGAATTAAGAATATATAACTGAAAGTGCAAAAACTTAAGTTGGATGTCGATGAAACCCAAGAAATCGAAACCTTAGAATAAAAACCCTAGAAAATGAAAATAGAGTAAAAAGATGAAATACTAACAAAAATAATATAATAAAGACAAATGGATCATTTTAATGGAGGAAGGTATTACCTTTATAATATTTGTTATTGAAATCGGTAGCCAAAAGAGAAGAGAGAGCTTAGAGAGAGTTCTAGATAGTGAAGGACAAAGACGAGAAAATGGATGAAATAGGTTTCTTTTATGTTATACTTTACGAGTTAATATTTATTGGGTATCGGGTAATCTGGATTAGGTCGATTCTAAATGATACCAGATGGAAAAAAAGGTACGGATGAGTGCCACGTGTCCCCTCCGTCTACTTAAGAATAAATGTGTGTGAATAGTAAGACAACAAGGAATTTTATGGCCGGATAAAATAACGGAAAACAACTTTAAACAATTTACAACAGTAGAGGAACATATTAGACCCTTTTCTATTTTAAAAAGACGAAATCACAACTCTTCCTCGATCGTCCTTTCCTCAAAACGTTTTTCCTTTCTTTGCATTGGCTAGATGGGAGTAATTTGTAGGCATCATTACATATGTATATTTTTTAAGTAGAATATTTGGGTTATTTAAAAGAATATTTAGTAATTTAATTTTTTAATATCCACAATAAAAAGGGAAAACAAATGAAAATATTCCAAATAAAGTCAATTGCAACTAATTTTCATAAAGCCCGCCATTTGGTTATATGACCGTTTCTGTTGGTTCAAGAAATACAATTATATAACGGAAATTTTGGAGAAAGATTTGGCCCCCCATCTTCAGAAAGTCCGTAAATCTGTAGACTCTCGTTCCCGTCGACCATTTTTTGCCGTTAAATCTCGCCGTCCATTCTTTTGCCGTTAAATTTCGCCGACGGTGGAATAGAATCTCTGAGTTCAGTTCATCCTAATTGCCAGGTTTCTTCTGCTCTCTTTCTCCTCCTCCTTCTTCTTTCTGTTTGTGAAAACTGAGAATTTTGTCGATATTATTGAGTATTTAACCAAATCTGATCATTTAATTATCTGGGTTTGCAATCTACTGAGATCTTGACTTGGCGATTGATATTACTTGCGTTTTTGAAGTTTTCTTTTACTTGTGCTTCTCTGTGTGTATAACTATCTTGTTTTTTTGGTCAATTTTTCAATTTGCCGGCTGTAATGATTTGGGTTCAACAAGAAAATCACGATAACAAATTCCTAGTTTCTTGGATTAATGTAATTGTTTAGGCTATAGAAGAAGAAGGAAATAGTACATATTATTTTATGGTAAACCATTGAACATTTTATACTAATTTTTTTTATTCGAATTCAATGAATTTAGAGATATTCTAAATTATACTTCCAACCATTGATACGGACCAAAGGAAAATTATTTCAAGAAAAAAAATTTTACCCTCATAAATTGAATTGGGAATTTAGTACTACATCAGAAGTAATTTGGGAAATCTTTTTCCTAATTCCTATAGGATCTCAAAACATGTCAGGAGAATTGCACGTCTAGTTTCAATTTTACTTTTATGTTAAGTGCCGAATCAAACTACTACAATAAATATACCGACACAAGTTCTGTTTCATAGCATATTTTAGAAATTTAGAAGGTTATTTATTTTAACCTTATTGTCCTTAAAAAGGAAAGGTATTCAAATTCCATGTTGGTTAGAATTCAAGAGTCTTACTTCCCAAAAGAAGGATTCTTACTTCCCTATTTCTTGTGGGATTTTCACTTACTTTCATACTCTATAAGTGTCTTATAATCCTATATTTTGTGCAATACATATTGTTTAGTTGTCTTCTTTTCCCAGTGGTTTCTTTTCCTCTTTGTCCCATAAACCTGTAGGGCAGATTTAGCTCTTATATATTAGTAGTTGAAATTTATCCTTTCTTCTCTAATTTTTGTTACCCTCTTTTCACCAGAACTAACCATGGCGCCCAACAAGCTAAATGTGAAAAGGCGCAGACTTGAAGATCCAGCTGAAAGTGCAAGCTCCAGCACCAACCCTCGTAACAAATTTGAAGTACGAACTCCAACAACTCCAGATCGAATGTGTGGGGTTTCAGGCAGTAAAACTCAAGAAAATGCTCAGTTATTTGGTAATAATGACTTGGTGCGACTCAATCAAGACCACACGGTGTATAAAGTTGTAAAAGACAAGTTTGTATCTGGTTTAGGTGCACTGGGATCATCACTTCAAGTTGAGGCAATTCATATGAATGTTCGTTCCAGCCTTGTTTCGCAAACAAGGTTTCAATCTTTCCTTCTAGTTGCAAAAGCCATGGAGAAAAAGTACAATGGGCATGCTAGTAAGAAGCTTGGTTGGTTGGAAACTTCAAAGGAACAAATTATTGACATAATTTCTAATGGTTTTTGTTCCATCAAGTTATCGCCATGGAGTTCAATTTTCTGCTCGTGATTACCCTTTTGATTGTCTTCAAACTGCTATTCAAGACAAAGATGGACTAAGACATTTATTGCTTTTCAAATTGGTATTGGGAAGATCGGAACTAGTAATTTCTGGTTCAGGACAATTTCAACCAAGTTCTGAGGATATTGATTTCGAGGTTGACAGTTTCACATCTCCAAGAACGTATATAGTTTGGAGTAGTCGCCTAAGTACACACGTCTTCCCTGAAGTCATAGTCAGTTTCAGAGTTTTTGATCGTCCAACTCTTTCAAAGAATGTAAATTTAACGATTCCCTTTGATGCTTTGATCACTAGATTATCAAAGATCTTGCCTTCTCATGCTATCAAGTTGATAAAAGAATATTACAATGATCGTCAAAAGGGGAAGACCACTGCGCAAGAATTTGTAAGGCAAGTGAGCCAAGTAGCAGGAAACAGTTTGTTGATTTCAATCATAAAGTCTATATCTGCTCAGGTAAATCATCACAACCTCTTCACTGAAGCAATCATTAGACGTTGTCCTGTACTACTAAAAACTCGCAGTTCTTGGGATATTTGTCCCTCAAAAGTCATGGCAGTGTCAAATTGTCAATTAACTAACCACATCGTCAATTAAAGCACTAAAGGGATGCAAAGCAAGGGTGATTATCGCTTCTAGTTGCTTTTTTTCTTTTTCGATTTTAAACAGGTCACTAACTTTTATACTCTTCATTCTGCAGAGAAATTTAGCTCAACCAAGACCGAAAGAGCAATAATGATACAAGGAATATTCTGTCTTACAGTGGACTGCTGACTTCACATATTACTTTTAATAAATCCCCTTTTTTGCTTTTCTATGGCCAATTGGCAGTAGTCACTATTATAGCAGTTTTTAGTTGTTGTAAGAGTTATACTGTCGTTGATAGTTTAAAATTCTCCCATGGTTTGTCCTTGTATAAAAGGTGGTGACGTTCTTGATCACTTGCAGTGTTACTTTAGCATAGATATCTTTGACTTCTGTAATGGTGGAATACTTACTATTTTCGTGTCCCCGGTGTATATTCTTGAATTGCTCTTGCAACAAAAGTCTGCACATCCCTAAAATCTGATATCACTATAAGAGTGTCAGTATGGATCTGCACCAGAATTAGGAGAGGGTTCTTGCGTCAAGACTGAACCATCTTCATCTCGAGATTGTATTTTTCGATGTCGTGTCCAAAGATGGAAAGGTAATTTGAGCTCTTGGCCAGATGATCAATAACAGGGCAAAAGAAAAATGTCAAAGGAAATTGGCCTGCATGCCAGCGTCGAATACTCTATGTTTCCTCTGTATCTGAGTAAAAGTAAGAATGGTGGGGTATTTACGAATTGCTAAAAGCTGTTATATTGAGTTTCCATTATGAAATAATCAGTCAAGCATAATCCAAGCCCAACTAGTTTGTGATCTGGTTCGACTCACACCATACGGTGGTGTTTGTAGTAATATCGGAATTCACCATACTGTAAAGCTGTGCTCTAAAGAATAAGAATATCCCTACCCTCGAGTACTAAATGGTAGCTTCAAATTCACGAGAAATATACAGCTTTACACACCTGCAAACTTAGACATGGGGAGAAAAAGAGGGAAGTTTAACCACTGATTGCAGTATCCGACAGTATGGATCCTTCAGCTCAAGTTTGCCAATTGATGTTTGGAGCATATCACCAACACTCGCTATTCAAATTGATTAGTGACATGTTAGATTCTCGAGAGAATTAGCCATAATCCTGATTGGACAGGAAAGTGATAAACATTCAGATGTTAAACGATGACATAATATAGGCCTATCTGACAATGTTAAGTACATGGTTAACCCTCAGCCTTATGACCTACGAACAAATGGTGCTTAATACAATACCTGAAAGTATGGGGGGGGGGGGGGGGGG